TGTTTCCATCAAACCAAGATGAATCCACGCGACTCAAACTCAAACATTAAATCTAATATGCATATGGACACCGCAAAAGCCTAAAAAATCAATATACTCATATCTCGATTACTAGTAATTATCCTGATTAATTAGCGCAATTAATTAGAACTTGGCGTCACCAAGCAGACAATTATCGTCGTGAGTCCGGAGTTCGTTACTGATTTATCCCCTCGGCGGTAAGTTAGCACGAAGAAAGCAGAGCTAATTAATTATTTATACTTTAGACCGAGACACGACGGAGAGAGAGAGAGAGAGAGAGAGAGAGAGAGAGAGAGAGAGAGAGGGAGGGAGAGAGATGCCAATAAAATTGCCTGACATTCTATACGAGTGTAATAAGAACCAGGAGGTGAGGAGAACTTCCTAAGAGTGAAGGTCGCGCTTCCCAAAGTCATTATTATAACGAAATCAAATCTATTTTAGTCATTATTATAACAAAGCCAAATCTATTTTATCTATAAGATTTAGGTCGACTGAAGATTATTTTTTATTATTCGATAATTCTATTTTCTATTTTATTTGATAAATATAGAAGAAACCTTTTGCATCAATCTAATATTGTATCATTATTGTATTCAGCAACATTGCGGGAAATACGCGATGAGAAAGAATTTATCACTCTTTTCGTTACTGCGGAGCTGCGATCATTGTGCACAATATTGTTCCACTAAGATACAACCGAGGTCGGAGGTCTATATTTGGATTCTATTGCTCTACGCGATTTTTCTGCCGTAGTTTAAAATCTCTGCTGTCATCGCGCGCAGTCGACCTTGTTCGCAGCGTCTCTCGATAATCGCTCCTCGTGGATTCGGTGTTCTTGATTGCGGAATTTGTGGCCCGAACTAGTCGGAGACTCATCGCGTGTCAATAATCCTTTCCCAGGCGCAACCAGCGTCAATGATTTTTTGCAGCTCCAGGCGAAGTTCGCGGCTTTGGGCTCTGTGCACGCGACAACGGATGATGACGATTGAGGTGCATCGGAAGGTGCACATGCAGATCTTTGCACGAGTAAAACGACGAGTGACAAAAAGGACGACAAACTGAAGAGACGACTTTCCAAATCTTAATTATGCGCTGCGTGGCGAAAACGATTTCACTGCCGCAGCAGATTATAGCTTGCCGAAAGTTTATTTGTCGTTGTGACTAAAAATTTGCTGCTGTAACTAAAACTTTCACTGCTATTGCCATATCGGTCTCATACCTTAAGGTATGTCTACTGACAGCTATACTTTCAGGTGTCCATATTTTATAACAACACTGAGAGAAAAATATAGTCGTCTTTAACATTAACTGTACTCTTTTATGATTCTAATCACAAAAATAGTTAGAAAAACCATTATTTTAGTAAATTTTATTAGAAAAATAGTTCTTCTAATTATTTTTTTGGTTAAAATCACAAAAAAGTATAATTGACGCCAAAAGTAACTATATTTTTCTTTCAGTGAAGATTTAGCTGTCACACACAGATCCTTGCTGCTAATTTCTTTTTTTTCGTGTGTGGGATTTTAAAAATAGCTCTAAACATGTGTATACGCGCACATGTGGTGGTTGTATGATAAATATATATACGTTTGATTACGGGTATTTTTAAACGTATTTATAAATGATAACACTTTATATATCTCGGTGCGTCTCGGAAAGTGCAAGTTTGGAGGCAAATATATGGTCTATTTGCTATTTTGCGATAATACTAATTGATGACTCGATGGGATGTAAATCTGGTTGTTGATTACCGATATACGCAAGAAGGTTCAAAGAGTAAAGCGATATTCTGAAATATCTGTTAATAATGTGAAGTTGTCTTACGAAATTTGAGTTAAATCACGACGGCCTGACGATTATCGTGACACCGTGTTTTAATACGATAAACAGTATGCTGTCATTCAGTTAATTATTCAGAGAGAAAGAGAGAGAAAGACTTTATTCTTTTCAGTAAGAAATTTTACTCAGCGCACACATTGAAAGAAATTATCCGACAAAAAATTATCAGACATATATTTTGGGTCGAAATTCGATTAAATATCCGATGAGAAATATTGGTTTTTAATTTTTTCCATCGGTTTACATCTGATTTGATCGAATGTAAAAGTTGATTGAAATTTGATTGGAAATATTCGTTTAATAATTGACTCGCGTCTCTGATATAGTACGATGTAAAAGAGTAATTTGTATAAATTTGCAAACTCAGAATTTAATGTGAAAGATTTTCAGTGTATTATTTGTATGCAAAAAAAGGTGAGTAATATAATATAGGTTGTTGTGTTAATATAACCGAACAATTTTACACTTATTATAATAAACAATCAATTTATGCATTTTAATCTCTATTGTGTCGTAAATATTGAGTATCTTGCATCTTTGATTGTAATTTTTACACAACCATACGTGTAATGTATGATTATTAATATAATGAAACAATAATTATATACTAATGAGAGTAAAAATCATTCAAATGCATTATTCAATAACAGGATTATAGAACTTACCTTACCTTTGCAGCAACAGATCGCATCGTTCTTCAACATCGAATGATGTGGTTCTTCATCTAATTAACGTACTTGTGACGTGATTCACATACATTTCTCACAAAAATTGATTCACAAACACGAGGAATCTTCATCTGGCGTAGTTATCGAAGTGCGCGGCCATATTGGTTTTTGAACGAACGATACGAGACGAAGCGAGAGACAAGTCGATTAGAATCGATTAGAATCGATAATCAGTTCTTTCAGTAACTAACAGTCACGATTCACGCTTACTGAGAAACGATGCGCCAAATCGAAAAAGTTCAATTCTCTAGATGCCGGAAGTGTAAAGGCATTTCTAGTGTACAATAAGTTTGAGCGAAAAAAACCTCTTAGGTTTGTTCTTTCGCTCTGCACTGCTGCACTGGTGCAATAAGTTAGAGTGAAACAAATATATATTTATCTCATTATAACTTGTTGCATCAGTGCAGCAGTGCAAAGTGAAAGACATACTTCAGTATATTTTATTTTACACTAACTTTATTGCACCAGTTGCAAACAGATAGGTTAAGTTCGTCTTGCACGTTTTCATTTTGAAAACATCATTCTATCTTCCTTCCGCATCTAAGGCTGAGTCATACAGAAAAATGGGTTAGGCGACAGTTTCCCGAAAAGTTGAGAGGATAATGTTGATACCAAGAAAAATCTTTACACGATATAATTTAAAGATCTGGGGGTCGATTGTGTATTTCAAAACAAAGTGAAAATTACAAAAGTGAGCAAATTTTCTAGATTGACCAATGAAGTTACAAATATTCTAGTAAATTTGCTCACTTTTGTCATTTTTACTCCATTTTGAGATACACGAATCGACCCCCTGTTTTTTGTAACTGCACTACTGAACTAATGCAAAAGATTAGAGTGAGAAAACATATACTTGTCTCACTTCAATTTATTGCACCAGTTCAGCATTGCAGTTACAAAGAACAGAATCTTTAAATTATATAGTGTAGAGATTTTCCTTAGTACCAACATTATTCCCTCCACTTTTCGGGAAACTGTCTTCTAACCGAAAAATGTAACCAGTAAGAAAATTGATCAATCATAGTCGACGATTCTCCTTATGGTTGAAGAACAATCGATTGTGATTGTTAATTTTCTTATTGTTTACGTCTTATTGTTTAAGTTTTCTGTGTGTCTAGGCCCTGATGAGCAATAAAGATGGAATAACACTTTCAGCACGAAAACATGCAAAACGAACATAACCTATCGGTTTGTGCTTTTTTATAAGTTAGAAACTTATCTCTCCTGTCCAATGGAAGAATTGCCCCAACGGAAAACAGATTCTCCCATTGGATAAGACAATATATTCTTAAACTCATAAAGGCGAACAATCTATGGATGTTTAAAATAATCAATCAGATCGAATCATTCAATCGATTGATATTGAAGAATTCCCTAAACTAATCAAATTAATGTTCTTGCCTATGAATTGATTGGATTAGATCAATATATGGGAAAATATATGTGTAGGTCCACTCCCACATGAAGAGTATTATAACATAGAAATAGAAAAATAGATACACATAATAATTATAATGTTAACATATCTTTCACGTTCTTTCAAATTAAAAATTTATCTATTTATATATCTTATTAAAAATTTATATATTTATATTTTATTGGCAAAATGATAAAAAAATGTAATCTTATATTTTAGCTATATTTTTTATAACTATATTTTAACTATATTAAAATGACATGTTAACTTACAACATCGATTGAATAATCCGATCACAGATCCGACTAATAGTCGTAAACATTTTATTTGTTTACGATTCTATACCCGTTCAGGAAGTTTTTCGAAAAGACTTTTCGAACAAAGCTTTATTCTTATTGATAAATTCGAGTAAAAAAAACTGTTACTAATGAGAAGGCAAGAAAATCCCTAACATAATATAACATGAAAAACGATCTTAAGGTGCTTTCAAGTTTTCGAAATGATGCAACGGAGATCGATGAGGGATATTAGAAGCAGTTAGAAGCTCATAGAAGCTCGTGGAAGAGAGATGTGTACTTAGTACATTTTTTCTAAATCGTCAATTCTTCAGCTTGTAAATAACAAGTAATTAAGTGTCACCACTGTTTCATCCGGTGATACTATGTGATAATATGTGGTAGGTGGCGACCACCATTCAGGTTATCTTTTAGCGTATCTGGTAAGTAAACATGGATCTTAAGAGATTTACTTGCGAATGAAGGATAATAAATCTCATTCACTTCTGATTATTTCTTATAATCAACTTGATCACTTTGTGAGATTCGTTATAACCGAAGTATGTTTCTGTGCAGAATAACATCATAATCATGAACGACTCAGGAGATCCTATTATGGATACAGGACTGCCTCTTAAAGCAGCAGAGAGTGAATGCAAAAGGCGGTCGGTATCTGCCTGCAGTAACGATTCCGAGAGGAACAAAAAGAGAAGGAACATATGCAGTAAGGACAAAAGGAAGAAGTCAAAGCAACGAAGTAGCTCTAACAGTTCTAGTTCTTCCAGTGCTTCAAGTCCAGAAGCAAACATACGTAGAGCTAAGAATGACAGGAACGAGGATGCTGAGTATAAAACTAGGAAATATGAAAATGGATATGCAGAGTTTCAGAGAAGAAATGAAAAGTATAGTAATGATTTCAGACCGTACAACAGGAGACACAGTAGCTTTTCTGATAATCAGAGAGATCGTGGCCGTTTAGACTCACGTTACTCCAGACATCATAGTTACGATAGAAGGGATGGGTATAACAATATCCATTATAATAGGCACAACAGTGATAGAAGAGGATACCATTTCAAGAGGACACCTGGTTATAACAGATCAAGGATGCAAGACCATTACAGGAATACAAGCAAAGATACGACTAGTCACCACTTTATACGAGAGAAGAAATACACAAAACAATCACGAGCCCCATCAGAGATAGAAAAGCATGATTCATCAATTAAGAATGACGCACAGGTTGTTGTAGGGCAAGGGAAGAGAAAAGCAGAGACACGTGACAAGACTCAGTCTAGTCGTAAGAAGTTGAAGAAGAAGAGATCTTCGTCGGTTTCAAGTGTTTCCAGTGCTAGTAGCACTAGCAGCAGTGATAGTAGTAGCACTAGTTCCAGCAGCAGCAGCAGCACTAGCGACACTGAAAGCAGCAGTAGTAGCAGTACTACCAGCAGCAGCAGCACTAGCAGCAGCTCAGAGGCTGAGAAGAAACGAAAGAAGCTGAAGAAGGCTAAGAGATTGAAGAAAAAGGCCATGCAGAAACGGAAGAAAAAAAGGAAAGTGAAGAACAAGAAACTGAAGAAGAAATTGAAGAAAAGTAAGAAAAAAAAGCATAGTAAGAAGAAGTCCAAGGAGAAGACGGGTAAGCAAGTCGCAAGCGAAATTGCGCCTGAAGTAATTGAAAAAGCAAAAGCCATGGCACCGATGACAAAGGAAGAGTGGGAGAAAAGGCAGAATATCGTGCGGAAAGTCTACGACAAAGAGACTGGAAGATACAGGTGAATATATTGCTTACTATACCGATACGAAAATGTTATTTTCGCACATTTTTACTCTCGAATTCTGACATCATTTCCTCCTTGTGGATATTTTTATAGGGATTAAGGCTTCTGGCCTCTCGCATTGTCTATCTCTTTTTAATGATGTCAAGCGAGAAAATGCATGCTAAAAATTCTTGCGAAATACATTGAAATAAAAATTCATATCCATAAAGTAACACTTGCAATCGATGAAACAAATTTGTAAGATATTCCGTGCACTCTCCTTTTGCTCTAATAATCAATAATTTATTGTACATTAATCTGAATAGAAATAGGCGAAGAAATAGGTTAAGAAGATGTATAAGTAGGTTAAGAATTGTATGTCACGTTAATTTACGACAAATTATTGATTGTTAGAGCAAAAAGGGAATGCACGGAATATCTTACAAATTTGTTTGATCGATTGTGCAAGTATTACTTTATAGATATATATATATATATTTTTTTTTTTATTTTAACGTATCTTGCAAGAATTTTTAGCATGCATTTTTTCGCTTCTGACGTCATTAAAAATAAAACAATGCGAGGGGTCAGAAGCCTTAAAATGCATTTTTATCTTTTGCAGATTAATTAAAGGCGACGGAGAGGTTCTCGAGGAAATAGTGAGTCGTGACCGTCACAAGGAAATCAACAGACAAGCGACCAAAGGTGACGCTGAATACTTCCAAGCACGCTTAAAAATGAATGCCGTGTAACATATTTTTTTATGTAACGAAATATAATTAGAAAAGACTTTACATAAGTAACTATCTTATCAATGTCGATATCCGGTGTCGCTGTATGTTTTTGCATTATTTCGGGTGTATTTACCTACGTAAATCTATATATTTAGGGATAGGATTATTGCAAATTGTGTAATTGTGTGATGCCAGTCACAAAGAATACATATTGTAATAAGTCCTATCTCTATGTATTGTATCAGCAATTTATACGTAAGGTACAGGAAATTGTTTCGATTTCGACTTCTTTTTTCGACATGACTGTTAAAGTATGACGGTTTATTGATAATAAATAAGTTTTTATTATATACATACATCATCTAATCCTTTCTTTGTCACACATTCCGCTCCTTAGAAGAGTGGGCTGAATGAAATTCGACCAACGATGCACGCAACACAAATATTTTTAAATTATTTTATATTCCCACAAATAAACTAAGTGCGATGTATTAGAAAATTGTTACATTTTCATTTCTATCGACAACTTTTTTGCATTTGCCAACTTAAATTGGCGAAGGTCATTCTGATCCATTGTTGATAACAATAAACATAAAGTTTTTAATTATATGGTAACTTTGTCTCCCGCTAGATGTCATAGGAAGTCCATATCTGCTTCCTGAAGAAGAGGCGGGTAATTCTATCAGACAGTAAGTAAAGCACGACGACGTCAGTATGGTGGACTAAGTTTTAACAATTCAAATTTTCAGTATAGATTCCCGCAAGCTTTTCATATCATACGTAATTGTCATTCACTTTTTAATTTTTTATTTCATTTAAATTTTTTTCATTGCATTCTAAAAATTCTGATATTAATTTGGGACTACATATTTCCTAGTTATATGACTATTGACTTTCTATTAACATAATTTTACAAAAAATTGATATTCTCTTTCTGTCTTTAATTATGGATAACGGAAACAATTATTTTTGCTAATTTGATAAGCTGTATTTGAGCAGAGGTAATATTTTTTTCTTAGATAGAGCCTTAGAGAAAGATAGGAAGAAGGTATGTAAATAAAATCATATTATGTCATAATCTTTTTTTTCGCGCAATATCTTTAGTTACGTTTTTTTGCTTGGCAGGAACATACTTAGCTCTTATGATATATTTTACACTACGGTAGTGTCTCTCCTAATTTCTTTTTCCCTATTTGTTTCTTCGAAATGTCCAAGCATTTCTTGACATGATTAGATAATTACGAATAAGCACGTAATTTTTCATAATTTCCTTTGCATTTCTTCCAATCCCGTTGTTTGACACGAAAAAAAACGTAGTTGCGACTTTCAGGTTTCTTGTATTTCGCCGCGTCTATGTTGAATTTGTGACGTTAGAAGTGAGAAACGACATGCTATCGAAAATTGCGTGTCATTTCTAAATAAAGATAAATATAGACGAAAGAATACTTGAGACTATTTGAGCGTATTTGTAAAATTGTCCGAAAAGTTTCCCTGACGATTAATAAATAATCGTATAATAAATAGTGAAATGAAGCGTGTAGACAAAACAGACTCATTTTGTTATTTCACTTATTATACAACTATTTATTGATCATCAAGGGAAAAGGATATCTTTTTTAAAATGTAATGAAAAAAATTTAAACGAAATAAAAAATTAAAAAGTGAATGACAATTACGTATGATATGAAAAGCTTGCGGGAATCTATACTGAAAATTTGAATTGTTAAAACTTAGTCCAACCATACTAACGTCGTCGTGCTTTACTATTGTCTGATAGAATTTATACGTAAAGTATAGGAAATTTCCTCAGTTTGGACTTCTTTTTTCGACATGGCTGTTAAAGTATGATTTATTGATGTATGGTTTATATTGAAGTATGGTTTATTGATAATAAATAAGTTTTTATCATATACATACATCCTTTCTTTGTCACATATTCCGCTCCTTAGAAGAGTGGACTGAATAAAATTCGACCAACGATACACGCAACACAAATATTTTAAATTATTTTATATTCCCACAAATAAACTAAGTACGATTTATCAGAAAAATGTTACATTTTCACTTTTATCGACAACTTTTTGCATTTATTATTTCATTATTTCACTTATTATACAACTATTTATTGATCATCAAGGGAAAAGGATATCTTTCGGACAATTTTACGCTCAAGCAATCTTTATATCTTTAATCTTATTCTAAATGCTTTTTATCTATATGCTATATTTATCTTTATTCAGAAATGGTAATTTTTGTCAGCATGTCATTCCTTCGCGTCACAAATCCGACATGGCTGGCGAGGTATAAGAAGCCTTATTCCAAATTCGTTCCTTCTTCTCCTCGGAAAATCTGATTGTTTCACAGGAATCAGAAGTTAGATACTTAATCGTGGAATTGGTGTGAGAATTTCAACTCCTTCCTGTTCCTCCGGCAAAAATAGCGTCCTCGACTACCTCGATAGCTAATTGCCAAGCGCCGCGCTAATTCGACCGAGAAGCGCGACGTTCCATGTTCGCGCTTTTGCCGGCGGCTGGATCACGCGGCGTTAGAATTGTAATATTGTATCCTTTCGCTGCGCGACAGATACGCGTACCAGTAGAAGAGATTGATCGCCAGGAAGAAGAGGGGAAACACCACGCGACTGGCACGGTCGATCTTCGACACGGAGTTGTATCTGGGCGTTCTGCGGCGTCGTCTTCCGACCGACGTCGTCCTCCTGGGCGGCGGTGGCTGTTGCGGCGGCGGGCTGCAGGTTACGCAGGATATTTGCCAGTGATCCACCGCGGGGTCCTTGTCGGGTATTGAGATCGCCGAGAGTGGTATCACCTCGATCATACCATCGCCGTTCATGGTGAAGCCGCGACCACCGCGTCCTCGCACGCCAGAACTCGCCGAGCTTTTTCGACGTGCCTGAAGAGATTTTCACGCGGATGTAATCACTTCCCATAGAGTACAAATCTCTGAAAAACTTCTTAAAGAATTCCAAAAGTGTTCTGGAGGACTTGGGAACTCTTTTGGAGCTCTTTAAGAAGTCTTTTAGAGAATTGTGCTAATGGGTTGTAACTCGCGACAGGATTCGCGCGACGTTTTTGGCTCGCACACTCTAAATTTCTTGGAATGAGACTTCACTCCAAAGTAGTGAAAATTGCGCCAGTTGAGGTTAAAGCGAGAACTTCACTCCAAACGAGTGAGAACTCACTCCAAATGAGTGAAAAAATTGCTCGTTTGGAGTGAGTTCTCACTCGTTTGGAGTGAAATTCTCGCTCTAACTTCGACTGGCGCAATTTTCACTATCTTAGAGTAAAGTCTCACTCCAAGAAATTTAGAGTGCAGGTTTTCACGATTCGATTGATATCAATGACATCTGCGATTGAGAAGTAGAATGGAATAGGCAGTGACGTATCCAGAAGAAAAGTCTTTGCGAGTCATAGAATGAAATGAATAATTTCTCAGTAGAATTTCACTAGCAGGTTTCAAAAGCATGAAATGAGTAACCAACCAATACTTGCGAGTACAACTACTCCTTCGTAATAATGTGTATTTCTTCCAAAGAACACAAAGACCGTTGAAGTGAACGAGGAATTTCTTTCTTCACACATGTGGCTCAAAACTTGGTTGAATTTCCTTCCGACAAGGATTAATAATATGTTTGTTAGGAAAGGGAACATTTACCGCTTGATTTTTCACTGGTTTTCTTCTAGCCATCTCTTCTTCTTCACTCGAGCTGTCGCCACTCAGATCAGAGCTGAAGTAACATTCGCCCGAGCCGTATTTGGTGAAATAGTGCACCACCGCAAACTGTATTATAGTGGCAAATATGAATGCGAACGAGAGAAAGACGAAGAAGTCCAGGGCAGTGGGATAAGGAACTTTCGGCAGGTCGGTTCGTGCCTCGAGTCCCAAGAATGTCATTGTCAACACGGTAGTTATACCTGAAAGAAAAGCGACCCGATCAAATCGTGCAATTGCGCATCCTGGAGTTGCGTCACTTGAGTCGAAACGAGAAAATAACCGTTCGATTCTTCAAATGCATCTCGACGACATAATTTGGAAAAATTCTCTCCTCGAGATCCGGATCATTTCTAGTTTCTTTCATATCTCGAGATTCCCCGGTAACTCGCAATTATTTTGGAACACAACAAAATCGACCTCTGATTTTCGACATTGCTCATGAGTTTTGGCGCGCGCCAAAGGTATAGAGAGCTCGAACAGTCCAGAAATTGCCGGCGCATTGTTGGGAAAGGATTGCCCGTTAAATTAAACGCGGCTGCTGTGCTCTCACGGTTAGCGCGGATTCCTTTCGGCGGATTTCGTTTGTACCGTTTTATCATGCGACTTATGCACGTTCGCAGTACGCTTCTGCCGCAAACAAAGCGATACTCCAAGCGGATATTACAGCAACAGCAGAAGTCTCAAAGAACACGTCAATTATTAACGGAAAACAGATAGCTTCTTTTACCTAAGGACACTCTATCGGCGGTGGCTTCTCTATTTAACCAGAAGGACACCCAGGAGAGCACGACCAGCAGAATGCACGGACCGTATACCTGAATTAGGAAGTTACCCATGTGCCTTTGCAAGTGGAAGTACACCAGGAGCATCGAGTACTCCGCTGAAATGTGCGTTTTAGCGTGAAAATACTTGATCGCTTTCATTTGATTTTGAATGCGCCGTTTGAAAACTTTAATACGCCATAAGAAATTTTGTGTTAAACACATTTCACATGTCCCACAATTTATCCAATTTATCCTTTCTCTACACGGATCTCAATTCAAATACAAAATGTTTCTTATCACGTACATATACTGAGAAAAAATGTTTGATGCTTGTAGTTGTAATCACGCGAAGAAATAATTACGCGAATAAATAAGTTACAAACTGAATCTGCAGTAATTTTCGTGGAAATAATTACTGCAAATTGACTACTAGAAATAATTACTACGAATGTGGTCAGAAAAATCATTTTCTTTCTTATTGAATTTTACTTTTAAGGTTCGTGATTTCGCGTTGGAATAACCAAAAGATATAGTCGGGGCCAAAAGTAGAGTTGTAATTTCCGTTAGATCAATCATTGTTTTCTCTCAGTGTAGCACTGTACGTTTATTTATGCGGAATTTGGAAAGCACTTTGCGCGAACTTTACGATTTTCTTTGGCATAGCTTTCCTTGTTTTGATAAGATCACGCCGTAATGTAATAATATTTGTTTTTACGACGAAATTACGCCTCGAAAGTCATTATTGCATTACGCGACTACTAATCCCTCCGCCGGTGCGCTGCGACTCCCAGCACGACTTTGAGCAGATTTCCTCAATAAGTGCACCGTCAAGTCGGCGGGCAGAGGCCAAGGCGACTGTGTGTATGTGTGTTTGCCGTTTACTAATCGATAATAATCCAATTAAAATTCGCGGGTCGAATCTACAGAGCGCTGCCGAGCTTTCCTGCCGACGCGGGCGGACAATGAAAACTTGAGAGAACGAGAGAGAAAGAGGGAAACGCGCGAGAGTCGTCTTTCAGAGAGAAGACTGCAATTAGTCGTCGCTTCTCTGCACGCCGACTTTCAACGTTGCTTTCCCCAACCCACGCCACCCTCGCCCTCTCCTCTCCCCTCACCCTTCTGTATCCTTCCCCTCGTCGTCCTCGTCGTCCGATATTCATGGTGAGACGCGAGAGGTGCACGATGTACCTCTTGTCTGACCGAACTTTTCGTTGACTTTTCAGTTTTCGGCCTTAATTTTCGATAACTCTCTTTCTTTCCTTTTCCCGCCCCATCCCCCTCTTCTCCTTGCCGAGCTCTACTTCGATTTGAATGAAACCATTTGTGGAGCATCGTTGCTTGGACGCTGCTGCTGATCGTTTCTCACGACCTTCTCGGCGACCTGTCCGGGGATAGATCCTGGAAAACTTCGGGATTTACGATAATGTCCAACCTTCGGATTATCTGGCTTGTTAACTTTGCGTTAACGTTGCTGTGTCTCCATTGGCGTCCAACAGATTCTCCTTGAATTTACGCGGACCTGCGCGGCTTTGGACGACGTCGTGCGGCTATAGTGCAAGTAACTCGATCACTCAGCGAGATCTAATTACGGCATTTCACCAGCTTCCTACGTAGTTTCCACAAAGCAAGGAATCTCCGGAGTTACACGCCACTCTCCCCGATACACGCGAGAGCTTAGCTTTTCCTCTCGTCTGTTTTTTCTCTGTCAGGGCTTGCATTCGGTTGCGCGACTCGCGATTCTCATTCCCTGTGCTACTCTCGCGCAAAGGATAACTCGTCAGATATATTCTTGGTTCGCGGGATTTCACTCACCATGCGACAGACCCGGCGTGGACGAGTGATTTGCGGTGGGATTGGCGACCAGATCAAATTGCGACAGTTTCATGTCCTCCGCTATAGCCACCTGCCGCGCGCTGTTCCACTTGTAGATTACGTCGCGTGTCGTGTAGCCGACTGTAAACGGATTAATGCCGTGCTGCCAGTGAGATCGACGTGTCGTCTAACAGTAAGTGACAGTCGAAATGCACATGTCCGCTCTTCGTTACCCACCGAGCAATTTTCTCGGAAATATGTGCGAGAAAAAATAACTTGCTACACGCGGAACGAGAATTGGCCGCGCAGGAACTAAAATACGATCGTGACAGCTAATGTCATTGCTACCGAAGCTAAATTTGCTATTTGATATTGGTCAGCTACTTGAATTTCGGCGTTACAGCAAAAAATATTCGTTCCTATTTTAATGACACGTTTACACTACATTTTTCTTTCTGTGGCTAAATTTTTCTTAGAAAATAAGCTCCACTTAGCGCCAACCGAAGAGTAAAGTTAACTGGCGAAGTTTTTCAAAGGAAATCTCTCAATCGGGTTTATAGTCTCAAAACGACCAGCGCCTCAAGACATTGAAGAGCGTGACATTCTTTCAAGCTTGTTTCATGAAAATTGTAGGGTTTAGTGACGTGGATAATTCAAGGATATTCTTGGATGGAATGAGATGCTTACTAGCGGACTTTTATGCTCGCGACGCACAATATTTGGCCTATTTTGCATAAGCCGCGAGACGACCGAATGAGATTGGGATTTTTACAAATTTATACACGATCAAACTTTTTTTGGAAGAATTTTTTAAATTAAGAAAATTTGGTTGGGTTAATCAAATTTCTGGTGAAATACGAACGAATCAGAAATTCTGGCTGGAGAATTCGCCAGAATTCTGTCCAAGATATCTGGCTAACTTGAATGGAATTTTCGTAATTCCAGAATTTTTTGGTTCGTTCGTGTTTCACCAGAAATTTGCAACCAAACGTTTCTTCTAAAGGGCGATGGTGCCGTGTCTTAACGATCCGTCAATTTACATTTTAGATTTTAGCAGGGTGTCTAATTTGAATAAGGTTCGGACGTAATTTTAAGTTCGACGTGGACTACACGCCGTAACAGAATGCATTAAGATCGATCGGACGAGATCAGGCCTGTACGATTTTTTATGAGATTAGAGATCACCCGAGGGACGAATAATTTTGAATCCCGTTACCGCTCTCCGGCCGAGATCTCTCCTTACCGCGGACCGATAAGAATACACGAGTGCCGTCGAAAGGAAGACGCGGACGGGGAAGGAAGAGGACGACTACGCGTTTCCTCGGGTCATATAGTGCAAATAAATCTTCGCTGGACTCACAACTGCCGAACTGCAACGGGCATCTTTGCGTGTCCATTGGGAAATCCTCGAGATTCATCGGGCACCCCGCTTTGATCGTAAGTCTGAAACGAAATACAGCACATACTTCGCAATCTTTGGGAACTGGCGTACAATCTCACAACGCGCGTTATGTATGACTTATTCTGGAAGCTCTGCGATCATTTCTCGAACGAATTCTTCCCAGACAACATAATGTCTAAAATCGGGACATAAGACGTCTTAAAGATCATCTTTAAGATGTCTTTCAGACAATTTACGTATAAATGTCTTTAAAGGGGCGTCTACATTGGAAGTAAGCAGTAAGAAGTAAGAAGTAAGAATAAGAAATTGACCAATCATAGTTGATTATTCTTCTCACATTCGACTGGTTGGTCAATTTCTTACTTTCTACTTCTTACTTACTTCCAATGTAGACGCCCCTTAAGGCGTCTTAAAGATTATCTTAAAGATTATCATAAGACGTCTTATGTCCCAATTTTAGACATTATGTTGTCTGGGTTCTTAGAGGACAGGCTCTACTTAATGCCAGCCAGGCAGTGAAGTTAATTAGCGAAGTTTTTCAATCTATCAATCGCTCTTATAGTCCCGAAACGACTAACACCTCGAGACATTGAAGAGCACGACATTCTTTCAATTTCGCTTCATGATAATTGCAGTGTTTAGTGGCGAGGATAAATCGTGCTCTTTGCTTTCTGTTTTTGCTTTTCATCTCTTTACTTCTTGATGTTCTGTTTTACCGACGATTGCGTCTTTTGTTACGTGTCTCTTGTCTCTTCTGAATTTCGTCAACTTTTAAGCTTAATCTGCAATGTGACCTTTGTTTCCTGTTTCTTGTTCTATGTCTTTTTAAAGTTTGATCTACAATGTACTTTTTGCTTTATGTTTCTTTCTGTTTTATCTCTTTCTGATTTAAATCTTGATCTTTTAGTTCGAAGAAAATAAAGATTAAAAAACAGGAAGCGAAGAACATATTGTAGATTAAGCTTAAGACTTGACATTTGAATCAGAAAGAAATAAAACGGACGAAATAGAAAGAAAAAAGCTTGTAAATCAAGCTTGTAGATCAAGCTTGTAGATCAAGCTTTATCTCGAAACGACGAAATAACAAGAAACACAAGAGGCATCACGAGATCAGTGAGGCTAAATGAAGTTGGTCAGCTTAATCAAAATGACTTCTGATTCCACACGAAGTGACACTTTTCTCCAGAGAGATCAAATTGTACACAACAATGTTCCTTAGTTTTAGACGACAAGAAGACTAGAAACGAAAGGTAGAAGCAACCCAAAGCAGAAACAAGACGCAAAGAGCACATTGTAGATCAAGCCCAAGGACATTCTTGGGTGTTAAAGGAGTCAGCGGACTCACTATCAGACCCTTGCGACATTCGCGCGAGATCGACGTGGACGAAATTTCGATTTACTTTGCGTGCCGGCGAGAGTAAATGCAGACGCGCGCGGGATGGTATCGTGTAGATTGGTTCGAGTTTGATCGAGTTATCGCACTGCCAGTGCGCGGGTTTAACTCCGTCGAGGAAGTTAGGACCGAAGGATGAGACGATCCGTGACTAATCGGATCCATCATCCTGGCGTTCTAGCGGCTCGCTCGATCGCTCAATTTGCGGCAGGCATGCGTTCCTGCCTCAGCATGTGCGTCGCGGCCGGTCTCGCGTCGAACAGAATGCCCGTCGTCGTGTTCCGCGTGTACTCGTGGATTGAAATTTTCGTCTGTCTCCATTGCAACATGTTTATTAAGGGAACTCTTTACGAATCTTCTCGCGCGCACGGAGAAAAGTAATTTTGCTCTTTTAGCAAAATCGTCGTTGCTACTGCATATTCGTAGTGACATCAAAAAAATTTAGTTGACGTAACTAATTTTACAAATTATTCGTTATTAGAGCAGAAGTAGTTTCGTTGCCAGGATAGAAAAAATTTGAGTGTATTTGTCCTAAGAATCACGTTAATTTGCTATTGATGCAAAATAATGTATCCTTAGCAAATTTATTTGCTATCGGAAGAAACCTGCAGCTGCTTATATAAATCCATTATAGTTCTTATAGCAAAATAATTTGTAGATTCAGCAAATTATATCCAGCAAATAGTAATTAGTATTCTTAGCAAATCTTTTTGCTGTCCATATAATAACGAAAAGATTTTGCTAGACTAGCAGAAAATTTGCTGGGCCAGCAAATTATTTTTCTCCGTGCGAGAATGAACTTGAGATGTCTCAGAAAAGCCGGAGGTTTTGGAGATTAATTCGATAATGAATGAACAAGCGCAACAAAAAGGATTTTTTTCAATAATTAAGAATAAGAACAGCCAATCATGGAAAAAAGGATTTACTGCAGCAGCAAACTAATTTGCTACATATGGACAGTTAAATATAATTCGCTGTGTTAGCTACTTTTTCTTTGCTACCTATTTCCTATCTATGATAACAAGAAAATCTGCTCTTACAGCAAGAAAAGTAGCTAACGCAGCAAATTTGCTACAGATGGACAACTAAACATAATTTATTGATTTAGCAATTTTTTTGTTGTTGCAGGGGCAGATTTTCTTGTTATCCTAGCAAAGAAATTGGCTTCTGCACCAAAGAAAAAGTGACTAATACAGCAAATTATGTTTAATTGTCCATATGTAGCAGATCTTTTTTTCCATGTCGTTGTATTAGCTACCTTTTCTTTGCTGGAGGAACCTATTTCCTTGGTATGATAACAAAAAAATTTGCTTTTACAGTAAGAAAAGTAGCAAATTTGTTACAGATGGACAACTAAACATAATTTGCTAACATAAGTTACTGATTTAGCTACTTTTTTGTTGTTGCAGAGACAGATTTTCTTGTTATCCTAGCAAGGAAATTGGCTCTTGCAGCAAAGAAAAAGTGGTTAATACAGCAAATTATGTTGTTTTTATATGTAAAAATTCTTTTTTTCCGTGATGGAAAAGAAGAGAATTTTCGGCTTATATTTGTCGACACGTCCGCATATCTGCGTTTGCGACAATGCACAGCCTTGAATCTTCCTTTCGGGTTGTCGTCGGACTGAATATTTCCCTCACGTATCTCGACAGTGCTCGCGAGAGGCGTTTTGAGATCGATCACGTTTTGTCGAGAATAATCTCAAGCAATTTGCCTCGGACAATTTTCGGTTGCTATTCCGGCCGTTCTAGTAGTTTTTTATCGTATGATAAAGTTAAACTCAACAACACCGATGTATGCAGCCTTACATTGCAAAAACGATTTGGTTGACGAAATCAAAATTTGGTTAAAATGGAATCAATTAAATGTTTGATAATTACACAACCAAAAAATTTAATTGCCGCTATTTTGCTTACTTTTTCAATCATATTTATACGTTTTTAATCATATTTATTTCAATATATTCATATTTATTTAGTCACTGTGCAAAGCAAAATTGCGGCAATTAAACTTTTTCATTGCAGTTACCAAACATTGATCCCATTTTAATAGAATTTTGGTTTCGATAATCGAATCATTTTTTTCAGTAAGGAAATGTAATACTTGAAAACTTACCGACAAAATACTGACATTTTTCTGTGGAGTTGTATGTATTTTTACATAAATCGATTCTTCGAATCATTTTATGTATCAAAGCAGCGAGATGTAAGATAAGATCGAAAAGTGAATACTTTCAAAGATATTTCATATCTTATCTATCAGAAAATATCATTATAAAGTATAAAATATCTCTAGAAGCATTCTCTTTCGATGATCTCACTTCATTAATTTCATATTAATTTCAGGCCTAAGGAGAATAGTTATATTTAAGAAAAAAACTACCCAATTTCACTAAAAACAAACCAAATTAGTTGTTATTCTTGCACCTATGAATTAAGCTCATATATTATGATTTTTTCTAAATTATGCATCTTTTGCAAGCAGAGATCTTTTCGTAAAATTTTTTCATAATGGACTACCCTGTGTATCAACAAATTTGCAGAATCCGTCAGAAAGCATCAAAAGCGTATTTTGAATAGAATGCGAATATCACCAACATCATACTCACGTTTATGTAAAAGCTGTGTGAATAAAAGATGTGTGAAGAAATATGAAAAAATAGGAGAGCATATTCGTGTCAGCGCTTATTTAACATGATGTGTTTTGACGATCGTCTTTACTCCGCATATATACAGGGTGTCTTAGACCTTCACGATGACCCTTTCTGAGAATGTAGGACGGATGTAAGTGAGCAAGAAAATTCTGTGCCGTTTTGCGATATTCGCAATAATAGTTGAAATATTAATTAAAAAAGATTGGTGAATGATCACGCGCGATATGGTAGATGAGCTGCAGTGGCGCCGTCTGCCGTTGTATACTTATACATTAAGTCAAACTGAACAAAAAAGTCCTCTACCATTTTGCAAATGACCACATAGATTTTTAAATATTAAAGAAAATTGTTACATTTATGATTGTATACCATAATACACAAATTTTCTTTAATTAATATCTAAAAATCTATGAGTTTCTCTCATAAAAATACATTATACGCTCTAGAAAGACGTAACTTTATATGTTAAGGCTTATTGCATCAATTTGTGTACAAATAGTCTTCCGCTTACACATAAACGATTCCAGAGGTCGAGTGCAACACGTCGAGTATCGCGATCGCGTTATTTAAATTCACCCGTTTTTATCGTGTCTAGTCTTATTTCTTATTGAAATAAGATCGGTCGGGTAACACATACATCAGCACTGATGAAGCGAAACATTACGCACCGTGTGTGGTCGCAGTCACAATGGAAACTCACATCGTTCGAATAAATCTGCATAATGCGTCTTTTCGTTTTGCCGGCCTTTTTTTCAACTTCTGTTAACTTCGAATAATAATCAGACTTACCTGTGAGATACCTATCGAGTTGCATTTTTACTCATTGCACCTTAAGTATTTATTAATGATCAACTGGTATTTATCTTATTTACTTTTTTTTTTACTTTTTTTCTTTTTTCTGACTTGTCGCGATATGTTACATGACATAAAAACAGCTTTGTAATATGAGCAGTTCTCTTTGAATTCATCATCATAAAATTAACACAATCCGCCTT